CCTCCCTTACTCTGCACAAAGTCCTCCCTTTGCTCATCCTTACCTATCGTCACACCCTGGGGAGGGGTGGGGCGGAACAGGAAGACTCTGGACTCCCCAGCTCTGAGGAGCTCCCAGGTGGTTCTGAAGATGGGTCTCCCTTCCTCCTGCACCCCAGGCTCCTGGCGGGGCAGGGTGAGTGGGTGGTGGCAGCTGCAAGGATTTCTAGAGCTCCTGGAACACAGCTTGAAAATCACAGATCTAGGCAGCCCAACATCATTGCCTTGGTTTCTGGGAGCATCCCCAGGGTTCAGAGTCCCGGTGCATGGATCACTAGCGAGGCTCTAGATCAAGCATGTCAAACTCGCGGCCCGCGGGCTGCATGCCTCATTTATTTGGCCCGTGTTAGCCTTTGAGTTTGACATGCTTGCTCTAGATGGCAGTGTTTCTGATGAAGATGCGGCCTCCTGGATGAGAGGCAGGGGATCTGAGCATCTGACCGGCAGCCCCTGCTTCTGGAATGGGTGCTGTCCCAGGGAAGTGCAGGCTCTGCCGCCTGGAATGTCCCTGCAGCTGTGCATCTGGGAAGAGGAGGCACTGAAGGGGCAATGCGCTTACACACCTTCAGGGGGCTCAGCATTCCAAGTCTCCCTGATTCTGCCCTGCTGTGTTGGCGGGCCTTCCAGGGGGCCCTCCCTCAGGTGCCTGGGCTCCTTGCAGCCTCCCTGGCCATCTGATGCAGGAAGTAACCAGAGAGCCTTCTGACTCAAACCTGCCTCAGAGCTGCACCGTTTAGGCCTGTGGCTCCCACTGGCTCGAGTGAGAAGTGACCCAGCACTTGGCTCCTCTGTGGCAAGAAACCCATTCTCCACAGTCCGGCACTCAAGGCCCGTGACACTCTCCAGATGTGAATGACAGAGGCTAATGCACGTAAGGCAGTGAGTCCCCACCCTCTTCATGCCCTGGAGCGTGTAGAAAGCACCAGCATGTATATAGCTCCTGGGGACAATAGAATAGGCTGCCTATGGTGCCACGGCCTGAGGGACAGTATCTGAGCACCCCTCTACCAGGCCCTGGGCACTTGCGCATGCGGCATTGGGATGCTCACGTGCAAAGCAGTTAGCGGAGGGCCTACCGCAGCGCTTCTGAACGTTGGCTGCTGCATTACTATCCCCTGGGGACCTTTAAAACATTCTTTTGCTCAGGCCTCACCACAGACCAATTGTCTAATGATCTTGGGTGGGGAGGCGTTTTTAGAGCTCCCCAGGGATTCTATAGCACCAGGAAGGGTTAGAATCACTGGGCCAAGACAAGGTGAGCATTCGGCAAATGTCAGCTCTTTGCAATGGACATCTCATGTCAGCTCTTTACGAGAGACGCCTCCGTGTCATGGAAGGTGCTATTCTTGCCTGTGCAGGGGGAAGGGCTGGATGGGGGGTTTGCCGGCCGGACCTCACAGGGCACTGCTGTTCAGGAGAGATGAATGCTGGGTAGGGCAGCCTGGCATCTATCTCCCTCAGCCAGGTCTCAGCAAATTGAATTAAAACCCATATTTTTTAGCCGCTGCCCGCCTGGCTGGCTGGCTGGCTGTGGAAGGAGCTGAGGCGGGGAGCACCTCGGGGAAGGGAGAGCTGTTGAGGAGAACCCAGCCTCCTCCCGAGGGGGGAGAAGGCATGCAAGGGGTCCTTCTGGGAGACCATTCCCAAGGCTGGTCCCTCAGCCTCGGGTGGTCCTGAAGCCAGGCAGTCAGGGTGAGTAAGGGCAGCTGGCTTGGAAAAAGAGGGAGAGGCTGGCTCTGTCCTGGGGAGGCCCGGTCTGGGGAACAGAAGCGGCTGGAGTGTGTCCTGCTCAAGCGGAACCACGGTGGTTTGGAAGGACCACAGCCATAAGCCTGGATGGGCAGAAAGTAGTCCAGGACAAGGAAGCCCAGCCTGGACTCCAGCACGAGGGGGGACAGCCCACCAGGGAGAATGCTGAGGTGGGCACCAGGACACGGGCTTCAGTTCCAATCCGAAAGTTCCCTGTATGTCCTGGGCTGGTCCTGTGCCCCTTTGCGCTTAGGCACTTCATTCACAGGGAAGGGGACTAGACAAACCCCTGGATCCCAGCTCTGATGTTCATTTTCGCATCTCTATGGGCCGATGCTACGAGGTGGGGCTCGCATGAGATCCATCTATAAGGACTGGTGGCCCCTGTAGCACCTTGGGGAGATTAGAGAGGTGCCACCGCCCCCCCCAAACTTACTAGAAACCTGTCCCTTTTGGGTGGACTGTGTGCCAGGACTGGTTGGGAGTGGCCAGAGCAGGAGCTGAACTTCTAACCCCACTCACCCCTTGGCTACATCCCTCTGTGTGGGGCACAAATTGCACAGTGGTACCTGGAGCCCTGACTGCCCCCTGCATGTGCTCAGCCAGGATCTCACCCTCTGGCCGGGGCCTTGAAGCAAAACGAGAAGAGGTGACGGAAAGGCTGTGAGCAGAGCATGGCTGGGCTTCTGCCCTGGTCGGCTGCTGCCCAGGCAGAGAGGAAGGCGTGCCCATGCCAGCCTGCTCCTCACTGCCCACACCATGACATACGTCTGGGGATGTAGGTCGGAGTGCATGGGATACAGGACCCACTGTGGGACCTGGGAACTCAGAGTGTGGAAAAGGGGAGAAACCTGGAACTGAATGTAAACCTCAGAGCCAAAGCTGGAGTGCCTCCAGCCCCACGGACAGTTCCAGGGTGGACTGGCCTGCCGTACACGACTCTGATCTCACCCTGCCGTCCACTCCAGGCCCCCCATGTTCCTCACTCCGCGTTTCCCTCCTGACTCTGAGGCCCCTGCAGCCTCCCCTCCCCTCTGAGGGCCGTTCACAGTTTACAGAGCACTTTCACACTCCGCATCTCATTTGATCTTCACAATGCCAGGGCTGTCCAAAGGAAGGAAGCAGGCTCCCAGGGGTTAGGGCAACAAGCCAGGTCCAGAGGCAAGTCCTAGCTGCTTGACTGACTAGCACAGCACCAGGCCCTCTTCTTCCCAGAGGGGTTCACTCTTTCTGATGCAGAGGCCTGATGTTCTCCTCGAGGACATCAAGGGAGCGTTCCTGGACGGAAAGGCATGTGAGTCCTGGTGACCAGCCGTGGGGTGTACCAGGGGGCCAGTGCTCACTATGCAGTGAAAAGAAACCATCGGCTCACTGTGTGGACCCGGGGAACTCCTCGCATCTTTCTGGGGCCACAGGTACTTCCTGTAGTTTCCATTATGGGCTCCTGCTCTATCTTCCGGTCCTCTTCTCCTCAGTTGGATGGGGGTCCTCGAGGGAGAACCCCAGTCTCGCATCCCTCTGCTTCCCTCAGGCTTCCTCAGCAAGGTGGCCAGAGCAAGACTCGGGCCCACAGGGAGGCTGGACAATAGCTGATGTAAATGGGGAAGGCCAGAGCCTGGTTGCAGAAGATGAATGTGTGTGTGCGTGTGTGTGTGTGTGTGTGTGTGTGTGTGTGTGTGTAGGGAGTTCTTGGCATGCTGACATGTGGGGCAGTGACCAGAGCAGGGATGGACAGTTGGGGTGGGCAGAGGGTGAATACGTGGCCCGGGGGTGGGTTCTCAAGAGTTGGCTCCACCACCGATTCTGGCTGCATGATCTGTTTAGTTCTCCTTATTAAGCCTCAGTTTACCCATCTGTACCAGGAGGATCACAATAACAGCAGCAATAGTCATGTGTTCTTCAATGGAGAAGTAAGATCAGGGAAAACCTATGGGGTATGTCAAGGCACATGAAGAAGCTGAGGCTCAAAGCCATCCAGCTACGGGGCCTAAGCTTACAGAGCCAGCCAGGAGTCTGACTCCTGAGCAGCATCCGTTTAAGCTTCGGGAGGCCCCCCTGTGTGCCCCTACCACTTCCCTAAACACAGAGGCATTCCCCAGGAGATCACATTTGAGGACATCCAGGCAGGCTCCCCAAAGCCAGCTGACCTTTTCAGGCCAGGGCTGCGGGGACCGACCCAGGAGAGCCAGGACTTGCGGGTAAGGAAGGCTTCACGGAGGAGGAGGAGCAGACACAGAATCGTGAGGATGTGGGAGGGAGACAGAACAGGGCTTTCACGCTCTGGATACCTTAGGGAGGATAAAAAGGAGGACGGTGAGCCCTGGGGAAGGCACCACTCGGAAGCCGAGGGGGAGTGGTCCCCGCATCCTGTCTTCCCGGGTCCGCCGTGCAGCTATCAGCTCTCGCTGGTGTCTGCCTGGGCGAACGCGGCGGGCGGGGTCCCGCTCCCCA